AAAGAAACCCTGCTAGATTTTATTTGCTTTAAGAAATAGCTAGTTTGCCAATAAAACCAACTGAATAGCCATTTCCTTACACACAACTGAATTTGTGACTTCCCCAAGCAATTCAAGAATAAAATTCATACTTTTGAAGTTATAAACTTATCAAGATTTCAAATTAAAATGAAAAAAGACCCACGGAAATATCCTTGACTTTCAGTCTTTATTTGTTTTTGTACAGAAGCCAACATGACTAGTTTGGACTAAGGAAATCCCCCATTTTTAGAATTTTTCGTTGTAATGCATGAAAGGTAATCATACAGTATACCCTAAGCCTGAAAGATACCATATTTACTGAAAGGGATGATATTAACCAAAATACAGTTCCATGCATACATATCACAAATAAGATTTATCTACCTCTGAAGTCAATACAAGTGTACATACTGTATTGACAGAGGCTAAACCCCTTTGGGACTTTGTCATAAAAATATGAAAGGTTTACCTATCAAAGATTGTCCTTACTCAAGAATCAAACCATTTTGTGGAAGATACTTAAAAGAACCTCCATAATCCTATAGTAAGTGGTGGTCAATTTCGTATCTATGGGTTAAAATTTGTGTATACTTGACAATATGATTTTTTTTGTGTTAGGAAGATTTAAGGTTTTAATCAATCTCTATTTAGCAATACCAAAACAAAGCAACTATGTTATTAGATCTATGAACAGAACATTCCTTTATGAAAATATAATCCCAAAAGCAATTGCTTAAAAACCTGCTTCGACCAAGAAATGTTACTATTAAAAAAACCCCAAGTAACAGATTACTTTAAGGTCATCAATGGATGTTTCTGAATAAACATTTCAAGAAAAAGTATAACTATAGTTAAACAATCTAGACAAATTTAAAAAATTACAGGATGGTATTATTGCCCATAAGAACTGTTCTATCTGTTCCTGCTTCTGAAAAACTTGGAAAACACAGGTGTCCTTTCTGGTAGCTGTCCTTGTGAGACAAAAGAAGCAGCAGGGACAAGTAACACACAAAGTGATTTACAGACCACCCTACAGAGTTTTGCACAGCATATCATTCTGAATAGGTTTAAAATTTCAACTGACAATAATGTTTGCGAATGTTGGTGGTACAAGTTGTATATTTCATATATTTACTTTATTGTTGCATTTTATATTTAGAAAATAATTTAAATTAGATCACAGAATCGTTTAGGTTGGAAAAGACCTTTAAGATCATCGAGTCCAACCGCTAACCTATCACCGCCAAGTCCACCATAATCGTTTGATTTCTCAACAATCTGTTCTAATTTTGCATTACAACTTTCATCTGTATGTACATTTCATACACTGATCACTGTGGTTAGTAAGATTCAACGAACATCTCCTATAAAGGAGATTTTTTTTCTGTGTTGTAAAAAAAAATAAAATCTTAAGCTTTTTTTCCCTCCCTTTGTATTTTGCCTGCAGTGCAACAGTTTTCTAATCTGGGGAATAGAAAAGGACCTCAAACGTCAGAAGATGAACAGAGGCCACAGGTGTATTTCTATGCATCGTCCTTTTCCAGATACAATTTCACTTCTGTTGATGATACAGCAAGTCTAAACATATTCCACAATGACTCTCTGGCTTGCTTCTGTTAGCTGAAACTTACTCAAAAAGTTGCTGTCAATTTTCCTGCAGGTTAGGAGAATCATTCTTTAGGGCTTGCCTGGTCTCCTATGACTTGAAAAGTAGGACTCCCTGTTCTGGGCCATGAATTCCAGTCTCTGACATGGCAGTGAAACATGAAGCTGCTGTCTGACAGACTGGCTCAATCTCTGCTTTTTCAAGTGAGAAGATCAATGTTTTCTCCAAATTATCAAAGTGATCGTGGCTGTTTTCTATTAAGTGAAATGTGACAATACCAAGTCAGCAAAAAAGCCCCATATGACTTGTAAACTTTTCCAAATCAATTCCTAAACTTGTAGCCTGAGGAAGCTACTGTTTATTTTAAAAGAAATTGTTTCATTTTTCACCTACTTCTAAGTTATCTGTATTTTTTAATTTCAGCTTTCTGTATTAAGTGTTCTGAGTGACCTCTACTGGTTGACTAGATAAAATTAGCCCTGTACATCTTTTTCAAGTCTTGCAAATAAAGACAACAATCTACTGCCACGGAAAACAGTGTCAATTTCTTTGTTCGTTAAGAGAAAGCAAATTTTCTGCTAACAATCATGACATATTTTCTATGAAGTACAGTTTAAGAAAAGACAGGATTACTTGCATGTTGATAATTTTCATATTTTACCATTATTTACCTCCCTTTATACATAGTTAATACCTGAAGGTGAAAGTGGACTAAGAAGAATGTTTTAAATCTACTAACCAGTGTGACATTACAATCGTATCTCTCTGTGTGACACTATCACTAGAACAGGAAGACTGATACGATGTGGCAAACATATTAAAGCTTTATAAATGACTTTTAACAGGTGATTTTTACAGAACAAGTTTGTGCACAGGATGGCCATATGTAAGAGTTCTGAAGAAAGGAAATACATAGCAAGAAAGACAGACTGCTTTGACTACACACTACGTAAAAAAAGACTTAGGGCTATTTTTAGCTGTAAATTCTAGCAAATATCTTGACTATCTAGCTAACATTTAAGCATTTCAGAAGTTTGTAACTGTCCTGGTTTCAGCAGGGATAGAGTTAATTTCCTTCCTAGTAGCTGGTACAGTGCTGTCTTTTGGATTTAGGGTGAGAACAATGTTGATAACACACTGATGTTTTAGCTGTTGCTAGGTGGTGCTTACACTAGCCAAGGACTTTTCAGCTTCCCATGCTCTACCCCTGGTGCAAGGTCATCATATTTAACAAGCAAATCCTTACTTTACATCTTTGTTTTTACTCAGTCAGTGTAAGGAGAGCAGTTACAAAGCATCTCTTTAACTTAATGCAATTACATAATCTATAAATTGTATAGCGTAAGAATCAGGTAAGTCATAAGCAACTAAGTTGAAAAAATATTTACCTACATATAACATAAGAATTTAAGATTTGCGTTTCAGAATCAAACTTCAGTCTGTACTTCTGGATAGCTGCCCAGACGTGGTTGTATGTGGCTGGACTGTAATAAGCCTTCATTCATTCCTAAAACCTAAGCCATACAGATTAAAGTTTAATTTAAAAATTTACCTCCCACCATGTTTTCATCCCTTTGTGACCTGGGCGTTCTGGTATCAGTGCTGTGTTTTGGATTTAGGATGGGAACAAAATTGATAAGGCACCGATGTTTTAGTTGTTGCTAGGTAGTGCTTACACTGGCCAAGGACTTTCTAGTTTTTCATGCTCTACCGACTGATGCACAGGGAGCTGGGAGGGGGCACAGCCAAACTGGCCAAAGGGACATTCCATACCATGTGACGTCATGCTCAGTACATAAACTGGGGGAAGCTGGCCGGGGGGGCCGCTGCTCGGGGACTGGCTGGGCATCGGTCGGTGGGTGGTGAGCAATTGTACTGTGCATCACTTGCTTTGTGTATTATTACTATTATCATATTATTATCATTATCATTTTATTTCAATTATTAAACTGTTTTTATCTCAACCCACAAGTTTTCTCACGTGCTTTTCCAATTCTCTCCCCTATCCCATCGGGAGGGGGGGAGTGAGCGAGCGGCTGCGTGGTGCTTAGTTGCCAACTGAGGTTAAACCACGACAAACCACCACAGTAACTCATGTAAGTCTGAGTAAATTTTCACAGAAACAAGGGGAAAAGAGGACTCTTCTGACACAAAGCCAACTCTGCTTGCAAACTGAAAGACTGCATGAGTACTAGAATATTTTCCTCTAAATAGCAAAGCTTTAAAGATGTGGGAAACAAAATTTTCTCTAACATACCTCTCTGTAGCTACTTTACTTCTGAAACTGCGCTTTTAAAAAAAAAATTGCCTTGATGCAAAGAAAATTTCAGCCCAGTTTAACTTTTAGAAATTTAGGAGCAACAGAAACTCAGCATAGCACAAGAGTTATAGAAGCTCAGAATAGAAAAAACCTCAAAAACACTAGTTCCAATGAGACACAATAAATCACCATTGTTTAGAAACTATTTTATGCAAAAAATCCTATGAAATAGTTATGAAAATGGTTCTATTCTTGAGATACTGCACGATTAGATTTAACTACATTATCATGAAAAAAAATCGCCATGGCATATTACGTATCACAACCTCACGATTTCATTTGTTCCACCTCTTTCCATGTGAAGGCAGTTATACTCACAGGGTTTGACTTCATCTCCATAAGGTTGTCCAATATACGTGTGACTGGTAGATTCTGTAAAACATAATGTGAAATTAATGGAATGCTGAAATGCTTACTAAGAATTATTCACAGGCACACTATTATTTATGGACTAGTTTACAGAGCCTTTGAAATACTACTTTAAACAGTTCTCCTATTTTGTAAAGGTTGAGCATTTTTATCATCACCTAAGTTACCTTTCTGTACAGAAAATGCAAACATCTGAGGAGCATTTAGCTAGGGGATGAACAGAAAGTGCAAAAAAATGCAAAGATAGGAACAGGGTTGTATTTAGGTATTACCAGTATATGCAGACATGTGATGATGTATGAATTCTTATTAAAAAAATACTTTGCAGTTTAAGGAAAGAATTTTAAAGCTGAAGATGAAAATTAAGGGTGTGATTCTAAAAAAGAACTCATGTTGTCAAAGAAATGGGTAAAAAAAGCAATCCTGGCAACAAATGTTTGGATGAACTGGAAAGGAATAAACCGAGGTGAGATTCAAGATGACTTTTCCTTATTTAAGATGGGAAATGTTAGCTTGGACAAAAGATCTGAAGTATTGAACAGTCAAACCACTTTAGTTATAATGAACTGAGAGTTTACATAGCAATGGAATTGGAAATGTGTTTTGTTGACAGAATATATCAAAAAAGGACATTCCAAATGATGACTGACAAATAACACCAAAAAACACTAAGTAAAAAATCCCCAAATGACTAAATGAGAAATAAAAAGTTAACTTTAATAGAAATACCACAGACCCACATCAAGCTTAAAAATATGAGGAACAGCAGCATTTTATTTGGCTATCCCAAAACACCTGGAGAAGGAATTAAAAGCCAGAAAAAAAAATATCCTGAAAACATTGACATTGTGGCTTCTTACTCACTTAGAACCCAAAACAAAGCAAGCCATTTTGTCAAGAATAATACTAACTTTTCAAAGCCGCACGTCAAAAGAAATGACAAAATGTTTAATACAAGAAAAACAGGAAGTCTCATTTAGAATACAATTATTATTACAAGTAACAGTTTATCTGAAGATCTCTCTAGAAAATGCAACATACCAGCAAGCTGCATATTTAAAAGTTTCCTCAACTATATGTCCTGGTTTCGGCAGGGATAGAGTTAATTTCCTTCCTAGTAGCTGGTACAGTGCTGTCTTTTGGATTTAGGATAAGAACAAAGTTGATAACACACCGATGTTTTAGTTGTTGCTAAGCAGTGCTTACACTAGTAAGGACTTTTCAGCTTCCCATGCTCTACCGACTGAGAAGGCTGGGGGTGCACAAGAAGCTGGGAGGGGGCACAGCCAGGACAGCTGACCCAAACTGGCCAAAGGGACATTCCATACCATGTGATGTCATGCTCAGTACATAAACTGGGGAAAGCTGGCCGGGGGGGCTGCTGCTGCGGGACTGGCTGGGCATCGGTCGGCAGGTGGTGAGCAATTGCATTGTGCATCACTTGCTTTGTGTAGTAGTAGTAGTATTGTCATTATTATTATTACATTATTATTTTATTTCAATTATTAAACTGTTTTTATCTCAACCCACAAGTTTTTCTCACTTGTGCTCTTCCAGCTCTCTCCCCCATCCCACCGGGGGGGGCGGGGAGTGAGTGAGCGGCTGTGTGGTGCTCAGTTGCCAACTGAGGTTAAACCACGACACTGTATTTCATGACATACCACTGATTTGTATCTGTGCAATGCAACTTATCGTATCTAGTCATAGTGAAATTCCCACAGAATTCATTTCATTGACTACCCTACAAAAGCCACAGAAACAATTTTTTAAACCTTTTATGTGATAGCTGATACTTTTCATGCATAAATTATGTGTATAAGAGGATGACTAAACAAACAACGGCTATGATTATGATTAACTATGTCAAAAAGATGCACATTTAATTAAGAGGTGAGATTTCATTTTCCTTAGTTCTGATACACTGTATTTCAAAATCAAATTCTGGTTCTTCCACTAAGAATTATAACATGATGAATGATCTTTTTCTTAGAAATCTTGACTTTGATTTTTCAAGCACATTTCAAGATTATGGTTGTTGTACATTACTTATGTGGGAAAACTAGAAATGCTTGAACTGTAACTGAACAGAGGATGAACACTTTCAGCCTTTGAATCACTCTGGAATAGATGCATTTAATACACGCTGTTCTAAGTAAAGACCCGGAGGGTTTTTCCTTTTTGTTTATGAAGGTCTAGTCTATTTTGAGTATTCCACAGCTGCTCTTTTTATAATGCTGAAATCAGTCTTAATCACACATACTGGAATCTATTTCCTTATAAATGGAGGTATTCAAAGAAAATTTGAACATTATTTATTACCTGTCTAAAAACTGGGAGCTACAAAGTGATAGATCTATCCACCAGCAGAGGTTGATGTTTGTTTTTTTACTGTACAACTGATTTTATTAATATGACAGAGGTACTGAAAGTTGTTTTTCTACATGTTCACAATGCGCATGTGATAAACTTTTTTTTTTAAACTTACTTGTTGCTTCAGTACCAAGTTCTTCACTCCTTCCATTACAAACTGTGATCCTGTATTCATAACACGTGAAAACAGACTGAAAAACAAAATAAAGATGATGTGTAAGACTTTCTTTTTTCAATTTGCATTCTTAAGCTTTATGCTGACATCCAATTCCTATTAAAGTTGATGGGACTTAAGTACCAAGTCATTCAATTTGTCATGAAATATAGTCTTCAAACCACACGGCAACCAAGTGTATGGGAATACACCTATAATCTAGCAGTTAGATCCTCACCTATCAGTAGGAGTCTTGAGTTCTAGTCTTTAATCCATTGAACAGTTTATTTTACAACTTCAGTAATGCAAGGATTTGAGTGCTCCTTTCAAGGGGGTGTCCTAATGTCCTGGTTTCAGCTGGGATAGAGTTAATTTTCTTCCCAGTAGCTGGCACAGTGCTGTGTTTTGGATTTAGCATGAGAATAATGTGATAACACACTGATGTTTTAGTTGTTGCTGAGCAGTGTTTATATTAAGTCAAGGACTTTTCAACTTCCCATACTCTGCCAGTGAAGAGGTGCACAAGAAGCTGGGAGGGGGCACGGCCAGGACAGCTGACCCAAACTGGCCAAAGGGATATTCCATACCATGTGACGTCATGCTCAGTAGATCAACTGGGGGGAGTTGGCCGGGGGGCAGCGATCGCTGCTCAGGGACTGGCTGGGCATCGGTTGGCAGGTGGTGAGCAATTGCATCGTGCATCTCTTGCTTTGTATATTCTATTATTATTACTACTACTACTATTTTACTTTATTTTATTTCAATTATTAAACTGTTCTTATTTCAACCCACGAGTTTTCTCACTCTTACTCTTCCGATTCTCTCCCCCATCCCACCGGGGCGGGGGGAGTGAGCGAGTGGCTGTGAGGTGCTCAGTTGCCGGCTGAGGTTAAACCACGACACTTAATCACCATAGTTAACAGAGATGCTCAGTGTCTCCAGCCAACCAAACAGTAATTTTCCCAAGTGAGACAGCACTGGAATTCTCTCTAACCATACCGTGCCAGTTTCCTTATGACAGTGACAGTGCATTCCTGAGAATAAAGTTGGTAATGAGGATTCAAATCCTCTCAAGCATGGAAGGACCCAAGTCCCATATCCTGTATGGGATATATGTACCCTTAGCACAGTCATTATCTTTTCTTTTCATGTCTTGAAATAAATAACTACACCTTTCAACAAGCAGACAGACACCCAGTCCAGGACATCCTAATGAAAAAGCAGTGTGTTCTTGCACCCTCGACAGTCTCCAAGCCCTGGAGAGAACCAGTTTTGAACACACAGGGCTGTTCATATCTTCTGCCATTGACTAAATAAGGCTCAAAATGATGGCTGTCATAGAACCATTCCCTGGGGCCGAATTCTCCTATGAGAGCCTGTACATTTAATGTGCAGGTGCAGATATCACTATATTATGTTACTTTGTGGATTTAGTCACAGATCCTTTTATTCTCCTGTGTGTAAGTCCTATGCACTGTTAAGGGGAGATGAGTGCTTGTAATTGTCTGTAACTTAAAAACTTTTTACAAATAGGGAGATGTTTTATTCTGGGCCTTGTATAGCACTAATTGCACTTTCAGTACTACTAAAATAAGCTAAAAGAACCCAAAGGCTTACAGAAAATTAATCAAAAGCATACCCCAAAGGTTTAGGCGTAGTGTTTCCATAGCTGGTTGGAGCTGAAGCCATCTTAGTGAAAGCCCTGTGAAAGCAGGGATATAAATCAAATGCTTATCTCATGGCACATACTGCTGTAGAATGTTCCACTCTGGTCATCTGAAAGTGAAAAGACTTCTGCTTCTCAAACTCTTTCAGAAAGTAACTATTTATTACATGCATCCCTCTTGTCTAGAAATACAATAATTAGGGAACTGAAAGGAATTAGATTTTACACTTAAAAGACAAAGACTTAATTTTGATACCATGTAAAACTAGAATAGCTGATAGGCTGCATGGCCCTTTGGTACAAACCAAAAAAATTTGGAGTCTGAACCAGCACAACTTTTCATTTAATTCAGTAAGTTGTTTGTGTCTTGGATCATTAAGTACACTACCACGTCTCATATTCAACAGTGTTCTGGCATTACTGGAGTTTAGTTTTAAAATAAGATTTGCATGTATCACCATAACAATGACAGAAAAAAATTATGCCAGAATGAATGTTTAAGGATAATTTATGATGTATAAGAAGTAACACATAATTCTTTGATAACAATGCTGAGTTCTGTAAAATTACCCAGTTATAGCCTCACATAGGAGAAAAAGAAATTACTTACTTCCATTGTTTTATGTAGCTCAAAGGAGCAAGATTACAACCTGCATCCATCAATGCTTTTTTATACTGCTCCAAATCAATCTGAAATTAAGAAGTGGAGAATTGCAAAAGGGTGAAACTACTCTTAACTCCCTTTATGTGGAAAGACAAGATATTATTATCTAAATATTAAATAAGCAGTGTAAAGGTATAGCATTAACCAATGTTAAAAAGTAATTATGAGTCTTAGTCCCATCTCCTACCAAGTATGAAAATATAACTTAAAATGCAATTTGCTATGAGCAGGTCTCATTAAACTTAACAGTATTTGTGGAATTAAATCCTGTGCGCTTTCAGATATGGGAACAGTCTTTTATATCAGCATCTTTAAAAAACCTGGCGGAATACCAGTTTCTGTAACATGTCACAACAGCAAATAATAAAAATGAAGGAGTTAATATACATTTATAAGAATACTTTGTCTTTGCCTAACCCAACATATTTTTGCTACCACGTAATATTTCCACAGTATAATAAAAATCTTCCTTGAAATTAGCCATCACAAGTTCAAAAGAATTATTAAGAAATTGTTTCCTGAAATATTCAGATATTGGAACAAGAAGCATTTCTCCTTTATTCATCTGCTAGTCAAATGACCCAATTATTCCTGAATATACAAGAATAGAGTGAAAAGAGTCATATTACCATTTTGTTTTATCTACTTCTATTGAGCAGTGGAGCAGAATAATAGAAAGCATGCCAAGATGTAACTCTGAACTAAATATTTCAAAAGATAATCCTCCTTCTTACTAGTCATTCCTATCCTTTGAAATGGTGGCTAAAGCTTTGTGAGCAGATTCCCTGATACTAGAAAATTTATTTAAAGTTTTAGTATTTCCTGGGCATTTCATACCTTGCTTCAAAGAGAAGCAGAAATACCTATTTAGTGCTGAAACGATACAGAACAACCCCGTGTGGTAGAATTTGGTGTTGGAAGCTGTAAAGAATATACATACCTCTGAAGGTGCCTGAGCTGAGCTTATGTAATAGATAAGAAATAATCGCATTTTGTCTTCTGGAGTTCCCGCTGCAGCGAAAAAAACCCACAAAATGAAAACCCTACAATTGTAACTATGCTGCTCTAATTGCTCTTCAGTAATAATATGTATGTACATTCAGACCTTTAGTTATGACAGTAATTGTTATCTATAACCATGGCCTTGTTCAGTGTATAAAATGGTAGAAAGACATTTAGCAATTTTATTAGAAGTTGGATTAGACCGGCTCACCGTTTCTGAAAGTTTACTTACACTTCCCCCTTTTGCTTGTACTGAATATTATTCTTCAAATAACATAATAAATAAGTTACGTAGTGGCATTATGTCTTATTTTATACAGGGATTGCAAGCATTAGCAGGGAGTAGGTCCATGAAAGAGGAGACTAAAGAAAAATCATAAAAGTAAAAGCCACAGCACATTATTTTTTAGCTCTACAATTTATTTATGCAGCTCTATGGTTGACTGCACTGAAACACTTGAGGGCTGCAAAAGCACTTATGTGAACTTTTGGTCAGAAAAAAAATCCTGAACTTCCAACTTGCCTTCAGGAAGGATTTCAACTCCTGAATCATCTTTTGTCACACCATTTGTTGGAGAAAAACATTGCTACGGATTCTTGGGAAGCATTATCAATGGCAATCAAAATTCACCTCTGCCAGATCAAAATGATGATGTGGCCATCCCTGCGTTACTTAGACTATAACCTACTACAGCAGATTTTGAAACACCATCTACTTTTTTCTAGAAGAGAATCACTACTAGTAAAGACCATAGTTTCAAATGAAGATTTTGAAAGTACAACTTCTCAAAACAAACGTTTCAAATTTGTAATCCAATACTTCATTAAAAAGCTTGATACCTTTAGATATAGTACAATATTTTATAAAAATGCACTTTTTTGTACTTGTGGGTAAGAAAAAAGATAATTTTTTCTGTATTTTGGTTCGGGTTTTTTTCCCCCACTATGGAATGTAGATCATGTCAGCAGGGGATCATCTAATCTCATCTGCAACTTTTGTTTATATGTGAGCATATATTTAGTTTGGCAGAAGTTAAGAGTAAGTGCTGTCATAATGAACATTTATGACTTGGTACAATTTTTTCTGGGAAATAAGTTTTATTAACCTTTACCAAATACCAGTAAGCCAGAAGATCAAGAACTGAAGAAACTTTGCATTATCTAAACCAAAAGCCAGCTTTCAAGGTTGACATCCACTTGGAGTTCACTTGGGTAAGAAAAGCGCTTAAACATTCTAAATACACAGTGTAATTGGCTTTGGTTTCTGTAACTGACTTGGAAACTTGGTTTCCAGCTTGCCAGTTTATAGCTTGTTTCACTACTTTGCTGATCACTAAGTTTCAGTTTCAACTGGAATCCGCTGGCACTCGATAGCATTTCCCTCGCTGGGCCTATCTACCATGTCTACAAAACTCCTAGAAGGTTTGTGCTCACAGGAGTGTAAGTGGTCTCACTTATACATGAGTGTAAGTGATATTTTGTCTTACTAAAGGATAATAAATTAAAAAAAAAAAAATCGGTCACTGTATTGTGCACACTTTACTAAATCTTAGGAGAACCACTTTGACAAAAGTACTTTACTCTTGACATACTATGTAAAGACATACCACATACTACATAAATCATAGCTGTGATAAACAGCTATAAGACCCAGGTCAGTTGCCTGTAAAATGTTCGCTATTTTTTTCTAGGCTATGGTCTGTGACAGCATAGAGGGGGAGTGCTACATGTTCTGAATAAAACTTAACTTGGTAAACCTAGAACAGAATGATTTTATTTTCCACTCAAAAACCAGCAGGCAGCCTTTAGGGCTACTGATTAACTACTAGAGCAAAGCAAAACCAGTAACTCCCGTTTTATCACTACTCCAGGATATAATAATATCCAGTTAACTGGGAGGCAGCTAATAGCCCTTAGTGGTAGATTAGTACAACATAGTAAGACATGGGAGGCTGAAGCCTGAAGCTGTTAAGTGGTCAAGTCTAAGTGCTTTTGTGAAGAGCTCTGCAGATATCATTGTCCACAAGACAAGTATCCCCACAGATAATGCAAACAAGAAGTTCACCACTGAAAGCATTGGAAGACACATTCTTCCTTCAAAATGTTTTCTGCTGGTATTTCTCAGTGAATCACAAAATAGGAAGCTGGCCAGTTTTACAAGATGGCATGCCTGGAAATAATGGCTGGGATTTATCTTAAATCCTTTTGTTATATAAACTTATCTTAAACCTAGGCAATGTATATGAAGTGCTAATGTGCTACTGTGAACACCTGAATACTTAGCTTATGAAGGAAAACTCTAGCTTAGAAATCTAATCTTTCTCTTGCATAAAACCCAGGAACTTTGCTAATAGGAATGTTGATACATCAGGCTTGGAAAACAATTTGCTTTATACTGCAACGTAAAAACGCATAGAAAATATGGATTCAGGTAACAAGTAATTGATCCAGTAGGAAATACTAGCAAGCATAGTAATTTCTGTTTTCATATCAGAGTTCATGCAAACATGAAAGCTGAAATCAAAATAGTACACGAACAGCTAATTGTGAACATGGAAAAGGACTAGTTTGTATTGATGCTTAATAAAAGTACAGATTATACATATTCTTACTAGCATCATATTAACAATGAACGTCTATACTGAATTACAGATTGATGCCTGACATTAGATTTTCTAAAAGTCTCTTAGTTTCTAGACTTGATCCAATATGAGATCTGTAAAATTTTAGCTCAGACTTCTAACTGTGTACTTTTCTTCTACTGCCTTTTGATTCTATAGCACAGACACCAATAAAAGATTTTTTAAAAAAGTTAGCAGGATTTATATATACTCTTTCTATAAATATGAATCATTATACAAACTCCAAGAAGACATTATGTCCAGTAGGTAGCTACAAGATTACACACATAAGCATGCAGTAACAAAACATTTTCTTAAAGAGCATACTGGGAAAAGAGCAGGAACCCTGGGTCTCTAAATGTTTGAGGTTTGCCAATATACTTGCCAATATGCAGACATGCCAGTGGTCATAACTTAAGTTTCACAATCTTGCTCTGCAGGTTATTTTGTTCCAGCCAACTGGTATCCAATCATATTGAAATCCGTCAGAGGGTTGTGACATACCTCAGGTTGTGAGAGGTTGAAATGAGAGTTGATGCTATGATACTGTGAAAAGCTGAGAACCCATTCTGGTCTCAACCTTTTACAGAAAGACCCCTAGTGACTCCTGCTAACAGAGAATCTGAGTACAACCCGGTGTGTAAAGCTTTGTTATGTATGAACCATAAATGAAACAGAAGCTGGGATGCACTGCTCTTAGACGATGAAAACAGATATGCCACAGCTGGGTAAAGGCACGCAAAACTTCAGGTGAGTCTCTCAGTGAACTGGACAATTTACATCTTACTTCCCTTCTCTCCACCTTCTCCCATGCATCTTTTTCCTCACACAAGCAAGAGCTACCTACATTACAACCCCTTGACTTAACCAAATTCTATCGAATGCCCTTTTTCATTCTGTTTGTGAGGTATGCATGTATTATAAAATGTGCAGTAGGATTCTAAAGAGTCATTATTGTTCAGACCACACAATTCCATGCTATACTAATAAATACCGGAGAAGCACAAAAGTTAAAATATTTTGACCTTCAGAAACAAGGAATTAGGAAAGAATTTTAGTGGACTTAACTACAAAAGTTGCCAGTATTTTGGATATTACTCAAACGAAATACTAAACTCTCTAGACTGCTACTAAAAATGAATAAAAAGCTGTTTTCTTTACAAGTTTTGCACAGCTTGCACATAAGCTCCTTACCAACCCTGAAGTCCCAGCAGGTACAGATTTATTGTCTATCTTAACAAATTTTATACCAAGTTCAGATTTAAAGTACTCACCATCTGGGTCAGAAATCATGTCCAGAAGAGATTTATCCAGAGTGGATTTGCTCATTATTTTTTCCTCATATTCAAAATACACATCCAGCTTTCGACTCTGTTTAAGAGTAAGTGTTAGGGTTAACATCTTAACACTGTGAAAGAATATTTATTTCTTCTTTACAAAGGTATATAGTTTTAGCTATCAAGACTGTTTTTAAAATTTATTTTTAAATAAATCATCAGTAAAAATAACTAATGCTGTATTATAATATGCTTTTATTAACCCAGAAAATTGACACATGTAATTCTCATATTAAGAGTGAAAATGCAAGTTAAGCAAGGGATGTCTGACATGCAAATATTAAACTGGAAGAGGAGCTTTGTTTTTAACTATGGTTTTGCCATAGCTGAAAACTACATGCCATCATACGTAGTGTTATGCTGTAACAGGAAAAAATAATGTTCAAGTGAATATTATGTCAAATTTATGCTGAACTTCAATCTCTCAGTCAACAACGCAATTACTCAATGCAGATAAACGTGGGAAATTCCTAAATACATTAAGGCATCATCCCAGAGAAAAGTTGGCAACTGCCAGCTTGGGCTGGTACTGAAATAACTACCTCGGATCAAAGGCTTGCAATAATTCATTCACACCAAAGATGGAGGACTTCATAATTAGATTATCTTGCTAACACTGGAAAAGAAGTCTCTCATTATACAATGACACATGTAGATCACATTGTGAAAATCCTTTTTTAGGGAGGATGGCACAAGGACTGCACAAAATTAATGCGGCAAAAGCTTTATGGAAGACATCACATGGCCATGCAACTAATGACTGCACTGCAATACATCTGCACAAACAGCCAAGCTTCGCACTTCTTGACCATCATATCACGAACTTACAATCTAAAGATATAAAAATGCATTCAAGAACTTCTTTAAAAAACTTCTGTTACATCACAGATCATTTTGAGCATTTGAACATTAAAATGTAGCACCACAACAAATGTTACAACTACTCAGCTGACAAAACCTTAGTATCTGGTAACTAACTAAATCTTGGCATTTGGACACATTCAGCTATGTATTGGCTCAAAGAGGAGACTGGCAGAGTGGCTCTCCATCTCCTTGCCTTGGAAGTGTTTCAGCTCCACACCATACCCATTGGGAGACAGACATGATATTGCGAGAGTGAAGCAAGAGTCACTGGGGCTTTTCTTGGATAAGAGATTTGGGAAATTTTGCCTGATAATGCCAAGGCTTGAAAAACTGCTATGGCACCTTCTAACCCAGTGCAGTGGTTGTTGTAATGACAGCAACATAAAAACTTTAGAATTCTGGTTTTCACATGTTTTTGAATTCTACTAAAATTAGTCCTGAGATCACAAATAAGGAAATGGAATTTTTAAAAACAGTTATTTCACCATCACCCCCAAAAAAGGGGAAAAAAAAGAAGGAAAAAAAAAAGGTACTTCTCTAGCCTAAGGATATTAGGATATTTCACCTTCTGAGTATTGTAAGTTCATCAAAAAAGAGTTGGAGATGAGAATACAAAATAAAAGAAGAGGTAAGTCACAAGAATATTTTAATATTGAAAGCCTTTGGCTTTTCAATCAGCTTATGATGCAGGTAGCTAAGTAACACTTCTATTTCTCATTCACCATCTACTGAACTCATTGAGAAGAGCAGTTACTTGCAGAACAGCAACTTAATTTAAAGCCTTTGTGGAAGCTTGTAATTCCAGCTTATAAAGTAAATTACCATGAAGAGTGCTCAAAAAATGACCACGCACTACTTTGTGAGTGTCAGAAGGATGTCTTCTGTTGTCTGTCATAGTGACTACGACTACAGAGAAGGTGTATGAAGTGACCAAAAAAAAAAAAAAGAAAAAAAGAGCTAGAGCTTCTTTCAAGCTATATTTACCTTGAGCTCATGTTAGAAGAGCAGTCACCGCCAAACTTTGGTAGTTACGCTACTGTAAAACCTTGGATTAATCCTGTACTTAGCCAAACTTAAAGTGATTATCAGTGGTTATGTCACACTAGTTTAAAGTCTGAATAGAACTGAACTACCAGCCTTTTTCCAAGTCCCTACTTCAGATGGAATTTGGTATCCGGCATGTCAGACATGTTATGTGACTTCAATTCTACAGCATCTTGGAGACTATCTGTGTTATAGTTTCCTTAACTCTCTCTAGAGAGACAAAACAATTGCAAAGAAACTGCTACCATTTTTCTAGTCTTTCCGTTACATTAACTTGCTTTTTGTGTTTTAACTACATTTGTATCTCCTTACATGGAGCTAAATTCAATGTTTTTAAGTTTAAAATATTTTTCCCAGACAAAAGGCATCCAACAAACAAAAGATTGTCTTGAAATGTGGAAACTTAATCTTATTAAGATAAATATATTATTGTTGAATTTGGTAATGCCCATATTAGCTGATGATCTGTTTAAGACAAATTTATTCAGTTGGCATGCAAAAATGTACAACATAAAAAAAAAATTAATTAACTCACTATATTTGTTTACAGATCAACTTTTAAATAAAATTATGTAATTCAAATATGAGATACTTCCAATTGTAAGAACAGACTTACAGTTGTTAATTTACTTGGAGAACAAACTAGGTAAAATTCTTCTCAACCATGTGCAATTTTATGACTGTTTGACAAACAAAACAGACTAACCGCAGCAAAGAAAACTCACTGGTTGCATATATTTGCTATACTTTGAGCCTGAACAGTGACCTTAATGCTACATGTACAATCACTCTCTTCAAAAATTTTGGACAATTACTTTTGAAGTGTGAACTTAGCACTCTTTGGGGAAAAAAACCCACACCAAACTGAAAATCCTAAAACTTCAGGTCCTTTATTTCTATCCATAACAGAGACATCAGAGGTAAGTAGCAATATAAAATTTTTGAGACTCTCTTTTTGATGCCACAAAAGCATGAACTAAAGAGGTGGATCAATATGGTGAGTCTATTCAGCTGCTTCTTCACTAGATAACTAACAAAGGTTACTAGCAAGAATGCTAATTAGGGCAATATTTTTCTTATACTGGTTCAGTAGGATTAGATGGACACCTAATCAAATTTCATATGGATTACTGAATAGCCTTAAACACTACTAGTTACCTTTTGACAGATTTCCCAGATATGCCACATCAATGAGACAGTTACTTTCTGAAGAGCCAACTTGTCTAAGAAGTGCTGATAAGAAGCAGGTGTCCCATTTAATTTAAATAACTGCAATTTTGCTCACTCAATGGCAAACTCACAGACATGCCAAGAGGAAAAGCTGGGAAATAGGAGCTAAACAATCCTGTAGATTCAATAAAAAAAGAGAGCAAAGAAGAGGTTCTTATGGGTGCCAAACTGGCAAGCAAGGTGAAGAAAAATAATAATAAAAAACAATAATAAAATCAAGATGCATTTACATTTGCAGTTACTCCCTTTCTGCCTTCTGCTCTTGATTTCCTAACTATGACATCTTGTTCCACACCAACCTCATTCAGGACACCTTTCTGGCTGCCAATTCAGGGACAGAATCTGTATGGCAGTTAAAGTGCTACACTTCAGCTTGCTTTGTCTTTTTTTTTTTTTTTTTAAATATATTTGTGAAAACTTTCAACTTAGCATCGTTAGAAACAGGCTGTTCATAAGCCAAAACTTATTTTAGGGAAAATTACTGAAGCGTATGGGAATCTCTACCTGAGTACTGTAGTCCAAAATGAACACACAAGTCCTTCTTTTTTAAGCAGAGAAGTGGAAGCAGGACCCAACGAAATCTCTTAGATAGTCATTTTTGTAAGGACTTGTAGGAGGCTTTCCTATCCTCTTTACAGTACAAAGGTTCTTCCTTTTAGAGAGAGAGAGAACATGCAGAAGAAGAGAAAAGAAATTTTCTAAGAAATTACTGGGAGGAATTTCTCAAAGATACTGACAGAAAACAACCAGAAATAACAGCCCTTAGAATCAGTGAGGTTGGTCTGGTAATTATAGTGTGCTCCTATCAAGACGAAGAGAAACCCTGGGAGAAACTCTGGCTGAAAGTGGCAGCTACAGTCAGTTCCCTTTGAACTGAGCTGCACAGCGGAAAGGTCACTGTAACTGAATTCAGAAAAAGCTGTTGTTTACTGGAAGGTTACTCAATTATCAGTTCTGAACTACATAACAACCGCCTGGACCACTGTGACATATATATTTCACAAACGCATACTGTTTCTGTTCACATGGTACGACAAAAATGTAACCTCATTTAAAAACAACATAGTTAAAACAGCAGAATTCCTTTACAAAATACGAATTTGATAATTTGAAAGGCTACTGGCAATCCCAATAACGAAGTCATTCAAAGGATCAGGCCTTGAGAGCAAGCAAAATCGGAGATAGATGATAAGAAAATTATGCAGGAATTAAAAAAAAAAAACAACCCTAAACCAAACAAGTGTAAGTAATCTAAGAGATAATAATTCACATAAAATCTGCCACTTAAGTTCATATGTATAGAATTCAAGCAAGATGTTATCTTACCTACCCCCTCTCCAATTAATCATTTTAGAAAAGTGTATGTGTACACCTTTTTATATGCCACGATTTAACATACTTCAGTAATCCTAGTATTCACATTAGAATGACATGCGAAGATAAGCATTACTGGAAACTCTAAAGCAGCTAGAAAGATATCCATAATTCCAGTCCTAAATCTGTTATCTGTTGGGTACAGTCCTTCAGTCACCAGCTTCTTCAGAGAAAAAACAATCAACGCAAAACAAGGATGCATTTGTTCTAAGCACTGACAATAAATACTTGATGGTTCACTTTGTGAAAAAAGTGATGCATTCTTTCCATTATTTCACTAAACGCTTAGATATGCCAGAAAACTGCTAGGACCCCTGAGCATGTGATTAATTTCTGGTTTCCTCTTGCTGTGTCTTAGAACATGATCCAAGAGAATGTGGAAAGCAGCTGTAAACTGAACATTAAAATATGACCACAAGAAAAATTAAATTCACTTAGTATATCTAAAGCAGGTCTCGTAGCATTCTTTGCATTGATTCTCATATATGTAGTGAAGAAAAACGCTCAAATACTTAATGTAGTAAAAAAACATAAGGGACAATGCAAACACTCTATTTTAAAGTATGAATGTGCTTCCAGATTATTTTAAAAGTGAAAATATAGTAACCTGAAGAAGAGCATGGTGCCTCACCAGCTCCTCATGACCAGGCACTTGCCAAAAAAATTCTCTCTTATCCTAATCTCGTTTAGTTATTTAACTGTATATAAAACCTATTAACCACAGCCTCAAGGTGCCATCAGAATTTCTTTAGAAAGTACTAGCTGAGATACTGCCCTTTCTGAGAGTATTTTTGAGGAATCCATTAGGTAGCATATCATCCTGCACGTTAAAATTCCACAGCTTAAGACAGAAAGATACTTTCTGTAACACTGGAGAGTCAAAAGAGGGGAGAAAATGGACAGGACAAAGCAGTTGGAAGAAACTTTACATTCATTCAGTGAAAAGGCTTTAGTGTAGGTAAATTCCAAGAGAAAAAACATGTGCTTCTGCATTAGTTTGAGTTTAAGATAGTTTCCTAAATATCTGGAGATGAAGGAAGTGATTCTTTCTAAACCAAAAGAAAAGATGATACAGATGCACATATCATCAATATATTGAAGAAACTGCATGCCCGTTTGTCTCACAATCTTCTTTGACAGCTATACAATAAGAAGGTAAGGAGCCTGAGCACTTCGCAATACCAGAATTAAGAATCATTTACGGAGAAATGGATCACCACTCCCTGGGAACTCTAATAGCAGGCTCCCTGTCAGAGGAGAGAGCCTAAGGGCTAGCAGAGTGGTATAGCACAGGGACCCTAAGGTAATTCCTTCCACCTCTAGGTAACAGAAAAGTGTGTCACTACCACCTAATGGAGAACGAACAAGCGCATCTGACTCCAGTCCATTGCCAAGAGGACACTGGTGATCAAAACTGATGTTATTGCCATTCCACAGCCTGCTCTGAAACCTGGCTTCCGTCCAACAAATAGTATATAAAATACTACCGGTGTAGGCCTGACATTACCGTCTCAGGATCTTTCTTAGAAAAGTGAATTTACAGACAAAGCATCAAATAAAATATCGACATTGTCAACTAGTATTTTTTTTCTTCAATAATATCAATGTACTGCTTTTAAATTGTTAGATATGAAAATTGACGTCTAATACAGCGAAAGCACATAAATTAGTCCCTACAGTAATGAGCCAAACAGAGACACACTTACATCTCTTCCCCAATTTTATAAATATGTAAAATTAATTTTTTCATTAAAATTCAGAATGAAGCCTTTGTTCATTTATAGTACTTAGTTTAAAAAAATTCAGTAGCAGTAATAACAGGACAGATTTTATGCACTTTACAAACGTTAAAGTTGGCTTCAAAACACATTGCCTTCCATGAGTTATAAATAGTATGGGGTAAAATTTTCTAACTATTGATTTTCAGTGAGACTTGGTACTTGAATCACTTTCAAAAACAGAATTTCAGTGTTCTCATACGGTGAAAACAGATCCATCTTCCAAGTTATCCTAGCAGTAACCATGGTCTTCACTTGATACTGAAACCGTCTGCAAGTTCCCAGATATAAGAGCAGCAGACTTAAACAAAAAGAGGACAAGCATCCTTCTGAAGTGCTTAAATTATGCACAAGACATCTAACACAGATCCTTCTGGAAAGACCAGTTTAGTAACTGGCATCATTATTGCCACACCTCTGGGTATCATTTTCGTTGGCGAACAGTAAACAGTACCCTTCTGACAAACACATACAGAACAGATAATTGCTTAGACTGAAGTGATAACTTGCCATGACACATCCCTAAAGTAAACGAAACGCTTCCACCATAAACTTATTTTAGAAAGACTGCAACCCACAATAAAGGTTGTGGCCATCATAAAAAAAAAAGAAAGTATACTAGTAAATTCTGATAAGAAAAAAATTCATATGTTTAGTTTGCTTTCCATGCAGAGGCATTCAAAATTCATTCCCTCTCACCCTTCAACACTAAGTAATGCTATGCAGTGATTTCTGTAAAAGGTAGCACAACTGAGAAGGCTCACTTTCTTATCTTACTTCACTTGCTCGAATATATTTCTCCAGGTCAGGAGCACTACTGATAGAAAACTGAAGTTGGAGAGCAATCATACCTTTATATGCTCCAAAACGGCTGTTGCAACATTCGTATGAAGATCAATGAGCCTCTTCTTTTCCAGAAGTTCTGGAAGAGAGCTGAAGAGATTAAATACAAACTAACCTGCTGAGTTGCACAGTTAGTTGAATTGTGTATTGTATATGGTCGGCACAAAAAAATGTATAGAATCATAGAACAGTTTGGGTTGGAAGGGACATTTGAAGATTATTAAAATATAAAATTATAGAACACAGTAGGACTGGAACTAAAAAATTACAAAGTACAGATGTAATGATTCTCCTAACAGAAGGACATTATCCACATGTAATGTAGTAAAACAGGTTTTTACCTTGACTAGCAAAAAACACACATAATGTGGGTAATTTAATATTCCTGTTGAAAGCTTGTGATCAACAACAGATATATGCCCCTGACTACCTAAACAAATAATCTACTAGAATTATGGCTTATATAATCAACACTTAGTTCATGTCTGATACATATAAAAGTATTAATATCTGCCAAATAATAGTATCTGTCAAATAATATCAAATAATGTCAAATAATTATCCAATAATATTAAATAACAATAGTAACTGTCAAATAAACACAGAACCTCTGGATGTCCTGGAATTTGTGCTTCTGCATAGAACACAATTCTCTATGCAGGATTCATGATTGAAATCTTTTCTTTTGTGAAATGGGAAACTGAATGGTTAAGTTTACTTCGTAGAAAATTTGTTACTTAGGGTGTTGTGATCTACATGGTTTTCACTGCTGGCACTTGGGCATCACATGTATAAAAGACTGCTCAGGGTCTATACACTTTCACATCCAAAAGCACCCTGGACAGCCAGCGTCTTACTCAGTTTAATAATAAGCGGATGAGAAGGCACTTAATGACATTGACTGCATGTCCTGAAGAACCACGAAGTTAAGTAACCATACTTTCTTTCCTCCTTTAAGCAATTATAAAATCAATGTTAGCTATGATGATTGGCCATTAATGACGTTATAGCTGAAAGGTGATTAGTACTGCCTTTGTAAAGGACTGCATTTAAAAAAAAGAAAGAAAAAAACAAAGACAGGAGATCCTCTATGTTAGAACCTCTGTTTTTTAATTACTAATAGATATTCCAAATAGATATTCTAGAAATTGTAAAGCCTAAGACAACTCTGGAGGGTATCTTCTTCCTGCTAGCAGATGATGAACAACAAAACAACAAAGCCTAGTCTAATTCTTCCAGCAGAAACATCCCTAAATGGCAGATCTTAATGGTATTTGGACTTCTCAGCATAATCCTAAAGATTAGAGCCGAAACATTGCAATAGGAGAGTTTACTGTGTTATATACCTGAAGGGGGACAAGATTTTCCTTAATAATGCCAGATTACAGAATTTAGTCATATAGAGGCTAACTGAACAGTAAAACTTCCTGATGAAGTTTTAGTCATATGATTTTAATTTTTTTGCTAACAGTTTAAAGCTTTTGATGCTTGTCACTTTCATACCTTGCTGCCTTAACCTGAAAACCAGCGTCTTGAGAAGTACAAAACTCTAAAACTTTATAGGGGGAGCTTGGAAACATCTGCTCGCTTTTTTGAAACTGTCTGATCGATCACACATCCTTTGTAATTCAAATCAAATTCTAACCAGGGCATAGCATACAAAACAACTTTTGAAACTCACAAAGAGACAACTAACTAATGCAGACACATGCTGGATTTCAGAGGACACTGGGCATATCACCCCATCTATCCTCAGAATAATTATTGTTCCTTTTCCTTCTGAGTGAGGTCCTAGCGAAAGGCAGCAAAACAAACATCTCCCTTCTCCAAGGCATCAGTGGAATGACAAACAGACTTACAATGAAGAACAAATCTAAATCTCTGACTTTCAGTGTCATCCATGGTGGCTAGGTCTCCAAAAGCAGGAGAGTATATTTCCCATGCAGAGTTCTTAATGACTGTAATCTTGCCAACAGATGTTACAGTAACTACATTAATCAAAATGTAATTAATTACACACTGTGCAAAGCAAGCAGATGCTTCAGGAAGTGGATTTCACTAACAATTTTTTTAAGGAAGGAATGCAGAGGTAGGTAGTTGGGTTTTTCTCGTGGAAGAGTGTAAGCAAGTCTATGATGCACTTAGGTTATTCAGCTTTGCTGAGGAAACACTCCAAAGCCATGTGTAGAGGGCTCACATGCACATGCTGTGGAAGTTAGATGTGCAAGTACTTGTCTAGTACATTGCATTAAACTTCACCAGAATTATAAAGCATTTAAACTCTATTATTGAGCTCAATAGCCTACTTTTAAAGCTATTTATTTCAACGGATATTAAAAGTGAAATGACAGAAAGAATTAGAAATGGTTCCCAATTAATTAAACAATAATGCATTGTTGATTACTTACCTGACAGCTGAAGTTAGCTTAGCTGTATTATCAGAAAGCATACTGATTGCTCCTTCATCCTCCCCTTCTATACCCTGGGTTTTGGGGAAGGGTTTGGAAAGAGGAATAAAAATAGTCATAATAATTACAAAGATCACACATGCAAATACAGTCAGTACATTTAGAACCTATTTTCTCATAATGGTATTAATGTCTGGATTGTGTTTTATAGTTATTATGGAAATTACATAAATGTAACGCCAATAAATGCAAGAAATTGAACCTTCTCATGAAATACGGTACTTCTAGTCCTACTTTTAAGATTGTATTATGCCTAAAATTCAGCATGTGCTGATAATTTGGGGGTGTGTGGGGTGGGGTGGCGACGGAGTGGGCTAAGCATCTCTACAAGTCCTATTGTGCTTTACAGAAAGCACATATAGGTGATAAAACTTACCATGATACTTTTAAGTCTTTTGACTTCGTCTTCTTGGGCTCTGTAGGATTCCAGTTCTTGCTGAACAGACTCAGCTACCTCTGGAAAAGGACTAATGCAATACTCTGCATTAGGCTCAGTTAAATCAACAAACTGAAACACTAGAACCAGACAGGTTGCATGATCGAGATGACCATGAAACGTTTTCAGAAATATCAATACACAAATCATGCAGCAGTATCAAATCAGTGAAAATAATGACATCTTACTGTAGGTTTACTTAAACTTTCCAAGATATATTCACTGCTTTCAATATTTTATATCATTTTGATAAGAACAATTTTGTGCTCTATAACAAAAAGCTAATACACAATTAATATGGACAATGAATATTGACAATGATCAAAAACCCCCAAACTTCAAAAATATTTTCAAAGCAGCTTAAAAATAGAACTACCATAATATGAAGAATATTTAGAATTTATATTGACTAAATGAATATAAACTCTGCACCTATACAGCTTACCTGCCCTTATGCTTTTGCCAGAATTTATCAGATGCAGTTAAATCATAGGACTTCTTATTTTTTTTCTTAGGTCTAGCACCTGCTGGAGAACTTTCCATTCCCGTTGATTCTTCCAAGTTAACTCTATTCAAATGGAAATCCTAAAAAAAGAGAAATCTTATGTAAATATTTGACAGTTTTTAAGTCTTTTATACTCAACCAATTATCTTCTAGAATATTTTCTAAAAAAATATTAACACAGCTATTTATTAGAATTTCGTAGGACGGCAGGAAACGGTTTACTAACAAACTAGATAATAACAACAGCAATGTAAGAACTCCAAAATTACTCACACTTACTGAAAAAACACCAACCAAAGCAACAAATGTTAAGCAAAGACATCTGATTGTCTCGCAAGCAATCTTCTGACACTGAACTCTGAACACTGTTTTCTGTACGGAAAATAAATCATTTAGCAATAACTGAGCTATAACAACTGACCAAAACCTTGAAGTAACAGAAGTTTCTGTGTTGCAGACAAAAAATGTTTCTAAGGCTGAATTTCACTTACACAACTACAGCAAAGGTATCAAAGCCACAAAGAAGCTCATGACATCAGCAACAGGAATATCCAGGAATATACCTTCATAGCTCTTTTCCTATTTTTTTTAAACACTAGTGAAATAGTGAGTGCATGATAAAGCAACAGTTTGCAACAAAGCTGCTATTTCTCCATATAGCTTTTCTTCTTCCACAGATGCATGATCCTAGAAACTACATCTTTTTGCTAGATGACACAGTTATGCTCACATAATATGTCAGCACACTGCTCCCTGTATGTCTTCTGGTTCCTGCCCCCATTACTTTTGACAAGGACAGCTCTATATTTTCTGCAGCATACATATTCCCTCTGGTTTTCAACAAAGATTAACAAGTACTCCACTTGCTGACTTTATTCTAACCCTTTTCAAGAACATTTAAAATTTCAAAGGTGCTCTTTGCTTGGCAAATAGTGATAGAGTCAAATCTTCAACTATACAGAATCTGCCATGAATCTTTCAGAATAGGTATTTTTTCCAGAAATAAAACTTCACTTTATTATGTTCACTACAGGATACAGAACTACATCACTGTAAGTGAAACTGTCAAGTAAGATTTTAAAATGTTTCTAGTTATCCCTTGGCAGAGTTCACACTGAAAATGAAATGCTATAAATGATCCATGCCAGAATAGAAACAAAACTAAGTAGCTACTCAAAGGAAGCACATGCAGTCAGTGAGCACAAACCTCATCTTACAAGACGCGTTTAATGTTTCAGCAAAAAAAGGGTATTTTTCAAGTACATATGTTTGATAAAAACTTAAGGGAAAAAAAATCATTTGATTGCAAATTCAGCTGTAATTTTTAATGGAGATCTATGTTTTGGCTCAATTTAACTCACCAGTGACCTGAGTTTCCACATTAGTTTTGGCATTTACAAGGTGTTTTACCAAAATGATTCTTATTGATTAGTGTTCCTCCTTTCACCTCCCCATTTTGTCTTTATAAGGCTTTCTATCCATGCCTCCCATTTTTCTGTATCCAATCCTGAAAGGTTTTTTATTCAGAAATGGGAATCTCTTCATACAAGCCTGTTTATGTGTAGAAACACCACAATTATAATCTAAACGGATGCAGCACACAACTTTGTGGCTGGGTTAGCATTTAGTTCAACACCCCACAGAATTTCTGAACTGTTGTATCTGAGAGCTTAAAGGAAAATTCATTTGAAAGTACAGTTTATGTAATCATCACCTTGGTAACACTTTCACAGTCACAATTTATGGCCTTTTAAATGGCTACTGTGGTTATTTCATGAAATATTATGCTCAGTACATAAAGAACCTGGCAGGCTTGCCTTTAAGGTGAATAACATGACTGGTTTTGAAATTAAACTTTTGCCCTTGACATGGAATCAAAGGCCACTTGGTTACAATTTCACTAGACGAATTCATAATCCTATCAACTCAGTCAAAAATTATATGCAACATGCAACATTTAACAAGTTGTTCTTTTTCCAGAGAAACTACTGAAGTCTGATGCAGTACACATAAATATCCAACGATCCTCAAATCATTCTTCTAGAGGGATATTCTAATATCCCTCCTTACTTGCAGCACTAGTTGTCCTCAGCTTCCACTACATCTTTGATCCCTCTGCATCTTGATGCACCAAAGTCCTACCCCAACACACGCCTGAGGCCACCCGATACTACCTTCTCTACCTAGCAGCTGAGTAGGAGGCAAGTACATGGAGCTTTGCATGGATTTACTATCTAGTAAACGAGCATTTGCTGATTAAAGGGTTGGCAGGTAACAAACCGAAATAAGTGTAAGCCTTGTGCAACAGCATTTACACCTGTAAAAATTCTAATTTGGGTTTCCATCCCCTACTCTTTCACTGATTTTCAAAAGAAACCTGTAGAAATTCAGTACTTCTATTTGCAAGTCTTTAGCCAGTTCAACAGTTATTGGAGAAAATAGTACAAACCCTGTTATTTTCATATATGCCTTTCCTAAAGAAACCAGGCCAAAAATTGTTTATTTGTAAAAAGCATCCTTAAGTTTAAGAGGAAGTGACTTTTCATAAGGAATGAATTACATAAAATAGAATTTAAAAGTGTCCTAAAACATCCCATTAGTGCTAAAATATTTTCATTGTAGCAATGCAAATTTCTGGAGAACGCTGTATGTATGACTATACAGTTCACAACCAACTTTGTATACAAACACATATGTGCACGTGCATATTTTACATATCCCTCTAACAGTCTCAATAATAAAAACAAAATACTTCTCAAAGCCAGATATTGAAATGATTTGCATGACTAACTCTACAGTATAAAAAAGCCTCCAGATAGTATTATTCTTATTCATGTTATCTTTCATTATTTAGGCTGTAACTATATACAAAATGCATAAATCTTTGGTAAACAGTATTTGCTTTCATTCAAGTACATTTCTACTACTGGTTTTATAAAATAACCTTGAGGAAATGAAAGTGGTTTAAGGCTATCTGAATTTGCAAAAAATTATTAAAAAAATCTTTTTTAGATTCCTCACAGTAGGGTCATATACCACTTGGTATCTCTATATTGAACACCTACACCACCTTGTGGAGAAAAACAGAAATAGGTATTTTTAAAAATTCAAGCATACTTACAATCAGTTTAAAAACTCATTAAAAGCATTTATTTTTCAAAACTGAATGGCACTTAATTGAGTTGGGCGTTTACATAACATAAAAGATCATGAACCACTGAAGAAAAAGCTAGGATTGCTGAATTACCTATCCTTTGATGATATCAAGATTTCAACTTTTTAACCATTTTAGAAGTTATTGCTAAATAAACCTTCTAGAGAAAATATTCCAAGTTGTTTTTTACTAAACAACTTCCAAATAAAACAGACAAAACAGATTTTTTGATTAAGAGAGAATCTGGTATTAAGTTTAATAACAAACCGAGTGAAAAAATAGTTTTGGTAACAAAATCAGATTTATTCTTACCAGAACATCATGCACTAAAGCTTGGTATGTCCAAGTATGATGTAGAGGAGTTGCTAAATCTATGTTTCTGTCAACAAGGACTAATAGGGGCCTTTGGAAGCTGAAAAGATGACACTGTATTAGTACTTCTTTAAACATGTTTAGAACACCCCAGTAACATCCTGAGTGATATCAGCCACCTTCTCCATCATATTTCAAGTTAAAAGCCAAACTGCCTACTGCAGAGTTCCTCCAGCCTTCCCCAAAGCATCTGAGGCTGATCACTGCCAGAAATTCCATGAATCCCTGTCTTAGTAACGATAAAAATATTATTTTATTTTGTACTAAGTGAAATTACCAATGCATAAATATTGAGCAGAAGTCAAAACACTAAACAGTAACTAGCCTTTTAGGTACTAATACCTCTTTGTGTGGATACACATTTGAGTTCCAAACAACTGTTTGAGTGGGTAATATTCAACCTTAATCCCCATCATTAACCTCAAATATAAAATATCTCTCTCAAGGGTTTTTAATTTCATTTTTCTCTTTGCTTGCATATGAATTCCATACAGAAAAAATGATGAACTCCTGAGATGCATTGCTGTAATTCCGTCAATACTCAATTTTGTGGAAAAAGAATGCAGACATGCCTAAATGTCTTGGGTTATGGCTACATGAAAAATTTGTAGCGAAGACACGAAGGCTGTGAATTTGCAGAACATTATTGCAACCATTTCCCTTAAGCACATTAACCCTACAGTAAATGTGATGGCTGAATTACAGTGTATTTGAACAGAGTAAAAGCATGTTAATTCCATGCTCTGGATTTCCTTGAAGCAAGTATTTTCACGTAGATATATAATCTCAAGAGCCTTAGTCACCTGATTCTGAAAACCAAACTAAAGATCTGAAGCCGTTTAACTGGTTAAAGGTTCCCATGTTTCCCTTTCCTTGCATTTTGATTTTCTGAGGGTAATGATGCTATACTATCAGGAAAACAAGCCACCCCTCTGAAAGAAGAACAGTGGTTACAATTCAGTTCCCATGAAAATGAAGGAACTGGTATTTCACAGCTATTCTCTCTCCTCATACCTTTCAACCTCATTCCATTTTGCTACCCCTGATGTTTTTTATGTCTTTTATCCAAGTTCTGCTCTTAATTTGAGATAAAAATATGAATATTTTATATCCAGTTAGGAGATCACAACCGTTACCTTCAGCTACAGTCTTCCCAACACATCTCCTACCTTTTCACGTACAGTGTAAACTCCTGTAATACGCTTTCCTAAGGTAGCCTGTGGAGTATTCAACTATCTGGGGGCAACGGTATACATGGGAGGCAAGCATCCACAATATTTTTTCTCACCCCTCTTCCCCCTCAAAGGATTCAAACGGCCATGACTTAACAGTCCTTAACAATCTAATTATCCAAGTGGTAGTCCTTAAGCAGTTCTCCTCTGGTAGATATAGGGATCAGATGAGAAACACTTGCTTTTGACATAACTACAACTGATAACAGTGCTTACAAGTGAGAAAACAGGTATTTCTTTCTTTTTAATGGACTAAAGGTTGCTAACAGATACGTTCAGACATCCAACTGCGTATCGTGGTCCTGTAAATTGAGTGTATTTGCAGGAGCTTGGTTCTCACTGGGTTTAGAGGTTGAACAAAATTACCTGTTTCATTAAATAATTTTTGTCTCACTGTCCTACGACTGCACACTTATTAGCTAAAAAAGTTTTCAAACCAGTTATGCTAAGAGATTGGAAAACTCCCTTAAGCGTATACAAATTCTTTTAATATAGAATTTGAACCAAATTCTTGTAAATACAGTTTTCAGTACAGTGGTGACTATCCTAATGACATATTTCAGACAACTGAAATATGAAAAATAAAAATACATTGTTATTACTAACACCATACCTGAACTGGCCAGCTCCAAGTGTGTCACCTGTAAAAAGGCTGTTTCTGGCATCTCTTAGATTCTCTCTGAGCTTCTTATCTAATTTCTGAAGGGGGGCAAAAAACAAAACAGTGTTTAACAAACCAATGGTTTCCTAACCTCTTTATATCATCAACATTTAAAGATTTATTGTGCTGGTTTTGTAGTTTATAAATGTCTTAGCTGCAGGGAGTCTAGGTCCACTGCACACGGGAAAGAAAGAAATCTCTTCTTTCTATTTTCTCCCTCCAGCATTTATGTCTCTATCCAGGACTACACAGAAGATGTTTCCTTTATGTCCACTAATCTCCTCCCAGGCAATTAGCACCCTCTCGCTAAACATGCAAATAGAAAATACCAGTAGAAGGCACCAAGAGGGAACCACAGCAGAAGCAGCAAATTGGGCTGTCAGACACTGCCACACTAAGTGTTTCATAAAAATGAGATTACGCTCTATGAAAGCATGCACACCAACTGCTTAGATTTAGTAAGTGTTAAGGCTTCACTAACAAAGAATGATGTGAGGAAGACAGAAGAAATGAAGCACAGTGACTCCTAATGAAGACAGTGCTGTAGAGATTTTTAATTGTGATTTAGTTTGGTAATTTTCATCCCTACTTGATGATCAAGTTCAATGTCAGTTTAGTTTGATATAGTAAAAACGTCTTGTACTTATGGGGTTTCCCAATCATATAGATAAAAATTTCTTACTAAGACACACAGAAAAACCCAGGCCAGACAGCCACTTTTTAAACTGTGTAGATATAGCTTAATGGTTGTAAGTATAATGTCTGCCAGAAAATCTTGATAAACTCTAGATTAGGAATGATTATGCGTGTTCAAGTTTCTCATCAGCTGATTCCATAATATTACAATTTCGGCACTGGTGAGGCCGCACCTCGAATACTGTGTTCAGTTTTGGGCCCCTCACTACAAGAAGGAAGTTGAGATGTTGGAACGTGTCCAGAGAAGGGCAACGAGGCTGGTGAAGGGTCTGGAGAACAAGTCTTATGAGGAGTGGCTGAGGGAGCTGGGGTTGTTTAGCCTGGAGAAAAGGAGGCTGAGGGGAGACCTCATTGCTCTCTACAACTACCTGAAAGGAGGTTGTAGCGAGGTGGGTGTCGGTCTCTTCTCCCAAGTAACTGGCGAAAGGACGAGAGGAAATGGCCTCAAGTTGCACCAGGGGAGGTTTAGATTGGATGTAAGGAAAAATTTCTTTACTGAAAGAGTAGTTAAACATTGGAACAGGCTGCCCAGGGAAGTGGTTGAGTCACCATCCCTGGAAGTATTTAAAAAACGGGTAGATGAGGCGCTTAGGGACATGGTTTAGTGGGCATGGTGGTGTTGGGTTGACGGTTGGACTCGATGATCTTGGAGGTCTCTTCCAACCTTAATGATTCTATGATTCTATGATTCTACAGTTCCATGGAACTGAAATCAGAAAGGAAAACTGGTCTGTCTCCTTTCCAGTTTTATTTCCTTCATAAGGAAAAGTATACAATGACTCTAGATCTCTGCCTAGTACTGAGAAAAGTAAACAAGCTGTTAGGAAAGTTTTAAAACAACGATACTTGTTTAGAAAATAGTTTCTTACCACTGCCACCATTTCAGCTGCAGTTCCTCTTGAGCATCTGATTATAGGAATAGCTCCTAATAAAAGATATATTGACTTCTACATGCATTATAATTTTCAGATTATAAGTTAGTGTACTTTTCATAAAACAAGTTTTCAGTAACATTCTGAGATGAAATTTTTCAAGTGGACAATACAAACTTATATTAAATTTGTCTCTTGCAGTCTTTATCTGTGGAATAAAATACTATATAGAAATATTAAATAAAGTTTTACAAAAGTAAGTGAATACCTCATACAGGAATTTATGAGAAGTATAGTGTACACTAGAAAGATAGCTAATGTACTGTGGAGGTGACAAACTATCTCATATAGAAATATTAAAACTTAGTTTCAAAATGTTAGAAGTCCCTTGAAAATGGTAATAATAAGTACTGTAACACCACCACCACAATATAGCAGTTATAACTCACTGCAGGGTAATGTTACTTTCAAAAGCACATTTTCCATTGGCTTTCAGGTTTCATAATCTTTAGCTACTGTTTCTCGCTTTTCTATATAAATATGAAAATTCCAACACCGTAACAGTTTAAGTGACTGAGTAACAGAGTTTTAATTTGTATTACGCTAACACTTGAAGGAACTCAGTAGGTCCAAGGGAATCTCTCTTGAAAAGACTGCCCCATAGTGATCCCCAGCTCCCCTTGTAGGAACGCTATCTCAGACTGCCTGATTTCAGTGAGAACTCTGATTAAATGTCATCACTATGAAAAATGTATGAGCTAAACATCAAGAAAACTCACAAATAAAATAAGTAAATTTAATATATCTTCCTATTCCTTGAGTTATTTCAGTTAGATCTTTGCAGGGTTTGTGTGAGGGGTTTTTTTTTCTTCTTTTTCTGTGTGGGTGTTTTTTTTGGTTTTTTTTGAGCGCTACAAATCCAAACTCAAAGCACTATTGATCTTCATTGAAAACTAGGATTTTGTAAAAACAGTAAATCCAAACCTTTGCATTTCAGTATTCTTCTCCCATTGATACTGAAGACTAAGACTCAACTCCCACGTAGGACAGCCTTCATTATCTTTTGCAGTGATGTATAGCAATAATTTGAGCAAGATCATTAACCCACCCTGTGAACTATTAAGATTTCTGTCACAGATCTAATTCTGCCTTTAATTTGCTATACAAAATCACTAAACTTCTAGGTACCTCATTGAATATGGATCTTTTCTAAAAGGAAAACATATGGAGAATATGCTAGAATTTGACAACTTACCAAGTGTAACAAAAAAACAGAAGAGACTATCAACAATAGTGTCCATTATAGTTTCCATTTCTGTGTCCGTTATGTCTGGTCGGTTAATGGCTAAAACAGTGTGGAAAAGAGTTAAGAATAGGGTTAAAGAAGTTTATGCCACTTTAATACTGAGAGAGCCATCCTCTTCTTACCTAATGGCTGTTAACAGCCAACAGCTTTTGTTGCAGAAGAGATCAAATTGTGAAATGCCCCTCTTAGCATATCCATTGATTTTTTTCCTTTTTTCTTTTTTTTGCTTTTTTTGAGCAAAAAATTGGGAGAACTTAATTATTGCTCACCGTATAAGGTCAAACACTAACAATCTTTTCCAACTATCTCTGACAAAGCACACTGTAACTTCTGGATTGTGTTAGTATTGCATTACTAAAAACCTCCCAGAAAACCATGTTACAGAACAGAAATGGCCATCCACTTGGAAAGCATTTTTCAGATATAAAATCCTCAAGAATCACTTGTGCAATTTAAAGAGAATTACAGTATGCAGTCATCTATATTTAAAGATTCTAAATCCCACTGCTTGTAATGGATATTCCTTTTCTTTTTTCTTTTTTTCTTAATAGATTTACTGTCAGTCTCTAGGTTAGGGATAATTCCCAAGTTCTAAAACATTTCACACTACAGATAGAAAGATTTTGCTCACATATTTAGGTCAGAACAAGAGACATATAGCAACATTTCTATTAAATAATTAACACTGACAAGAATATAATAGCCAACAGTAAACATCAAACCTAATCTTAGCACAGGTCTCAAGTCAAGCACTACCTCACGAATCATGCCATAAAACCCATCCTCCTTTGTTTTATTTTACCTTTAAAGATTTCTCACATAATTACCTGTCTTATACTCTTTCTTCAAAAACGAACTTCAAAAAACTCTGAACATTAATAAGCCTTCTATCCCAAATTTATGCACGTCCAGCCATAATCATTCTCTAACTTTAAAGGTGTTTTTTTTCCCCAGCTTTTGTCCTTTAAGAACTTTAGAGAGATGGATTATATTAGCAATTTCTATCAGCAGCTATACTTAGTAAGTCAAACTTTTTACTAGGCTGCTAGGATAACAGCAGCAATAGAAGCACCCCCCTCAGCATTTTTTTTATTATGAGTTCAAGCTTCTGAAATATCAGAGCCAAGAAAGGCAGGCTGTTCCCAATATCTGTATTCTTCTGTAATGACAAAGCTTTGAAATTAACTGGGGCTATCATTCTGTAGTTATCTCCAACTAATGGTCTCCCAGTTTACAGGGGGGAAATAATCCTATTTTTACTCCCTTGCCTTTCTCGACTTTAGAATTTAATTCCCTTGCTATTACTATGTTTAAGGTACTCACTTATGATCTTCCAGTAATCTGCATACTGTCAGTGCAGTGTAACATGCACATTTTATGAGCACATTCCTTTTATCTGTACCATAGCAATCAACACAAATATTCAATATTACTGCTTCTTAGGTCAACCTTTGAGAAACTCCATTAATAATCTTTCAGTAAAATGTTCTATCATGTTTTCTATATATTCCTCTCTCTCCACTGTAACAAGCTTATTGGGGATGCATCTATTACAGAAAAGTAAGCTTAGATCTCCTACATTTTCTTGTTGTTTTACAAAATTGATCCAAATTTGGTAAAGAAGCATTCAAACAGCATCGAACAGGATGCCAGAAACATCAACTTCATACCAATATTATGCATTTACTCTTCCTTCTACACAGCTGTAGAAAAACAAAACCAAAGGAAGGAAACCTGAGGGATTATCTAGTCAGTCCTCTTGCCCAAAGATGAGTTAAACCTATGTTATTTCTGTGTCTAAACCAATTCCCAAAGCCTCCCAGTCACGAAAATACCATAATGTTTATTGGTAATCTATTCTAGTATTTCACTGCCTTTGATGTTAGAAAGTGCTCCTAATATCTGACCAGAAACTTTCTTGTTGCAATTTAAGCGCATCACTTCTTGTCCATTTACTACATGGACAGAGAGAATGTGTTATCTCCTTTCTGTCTGTGAAAGCCTTTTACATAATTGAAAAATGTTATCATGCTTATTTGTCCTGACATTACCTCTCTGTAAACGCAGTCATACAGCCAGGAAACCAGGAAACTGAAAATTAACCTTTTTTGTTATATTTGTTCTTAGTTCACCCATTCAGCTACCTGCGTGGCCACACACGGCAGTGCTGCTGCAAGAACAGCAGCTGTCTTTCATCACCGTCAGAATTACATTGACTTATGTAGATTACGAAACTATACACAAACTGACAGTTTCCTGCTAGGGTTATGCAATTTTGCCTCCAAAGGCAAAAAAGACCACTTCTTCTTCGCTCCTGCACTCCTACTGCCTGTCTGTGTCAGATCTAGAACTCACACAGCGAGATGCATTGGCTCAGTGCTCTAATGGAAAACTAATCACTCTCTATGGGAGATCAGATTTCCGTTCGATCGGCTTTTGGAAACAGCCCATTTCTAGATTGGTTTAAACATAGTGTGAAACCACGTGTTGTGTGGCAAATTTCAGCGGCCCAAGAGAGGAAAACAAACAACACAGAAACTGATGGTTGCAAAACATTTAGTCATTTAAATCCAAATTCCTTGTTAGCTAGGAATCTTATGAGAGCCTGTCAAGTATCTTTACATACACACAAACACATCACAAAAAAATTACTACTAAAACTCTTAACAGTAGGTTTTACTAGGAAAAAAAAAAGTACTTTCCAAACAAAAATGCCCTTCATTCTGACAATGGAACCAAACCCCAGTGTGAGACAGAACTCAATATTATGGATCTGGTTTTAAAGAAAGGTAACGACTTTGGGAATCGAGCAAGAGAGGAGAAAAATTTCACTGCTAAATGTTAGGCATATGGAGACTTCTCATCTCTACCTGGTCACTAGTATTCTGTGCATCCAAATAAATCAGGAATTAACTGTGTGACACTGTGTGTAGACACTGTGACTACACTAAAGTAATGAGGAGCTGCTGCTAAAAAAGGGCTATCTTGCCTCCGACTTACACACTTCTATTTTCTAATGGTATTTTCTACGGAACGAGTCAACTGAACAAACACTCTGCAACTCCAAGATTACTGGTTCTGATGTAAAAGGAGAAGATGAGGGAAGCTACAGCAGGGGCAGCAGGACAACCCACCCTGTAATAGCTAGCCATTTGAGTAAGAGGGGCAGAGAGGTAGAGTGATAGTTCTCTGTTGATTTAGCATATTGAATGGGTCAGGGGAGCACAAAAATCAGATCAAAGGAGGAAGGAAAACCATGTGGACAATTATGACAACTAGTATATATGTTGACTTGAGCTGCCACAGCACCATAGTTGTAGAGGTAACTGACCTAAGGCAGCCACTTGGTTTTCCTGCTAGGTTCCAAAACAGGTCCAATAGAAGTCCCAAGAAAAGAAAAAAAAAAGAGTTCCATGAGGCTGACTTCACTTGCAACTCTGAAACTTTACAAAGAAGCTGACATGCTGGGCTCGCATGCTCGCAGAAGCAATCAGCATTTCTTATTTTCTAGAATGCCCTTTCCCAGATTCTTCCCTGCGCTACTCCAGCCCCTGATTCTAATCGTCTCCCCCTGCACACCCCCACATGTTCATGTCTTGAATGAGAAAAGCAGGTACTGACTGGTCACTGTCTAGAAGCTACAAGAAACTCTTATCAGTTAAGGCCATCTTTCTTGCTTTGCATTCCTTACAGTAACTTTCCAACTGACCATTCACACAGAAACAAAATACTTAATTCCTTAAGAACTGCAGAAGTGGTGCCTAAACACAGCAGCCACCCAGTGTCTACTATCTACATGTGTAAACAATATGTATTTTTTCCTATATTATTCCATGTACAAAAAGCCCTACTATCCATATATGTCTATACTGCAGTTTTGCTTTACTAAATGTAATTTAAAAATACATAATTATTTTTCAGTATTACAATAGCCATGTAGTAAAGATGCTGAAATTAATATCTAAGAACTGCTTCCTTCATGACTTTACACATCTAACAGATTATCCTGAATTCTGAGCAGATCGAAGCAAAATAAAATCATTGCTTGTATTAGCTACAACTTCAAAAGTAAATTTCAACTTTGGACATTCCAGTATAATTTTTACACAAATTTTACTTACCACGATATGAAACAAGTTCTTTGTTTTGGTTACACAATACAAACATGTCATCTTCTAAAGTAATAAAATTAAGATATTGATCAAACACCTAGAAATCAAGGAATAATGGTCAGAACAGTCCAGAATGAAGCATTAAAAAAAACTACCTGTGATTTATTGCTACTTCTTTTTGAACCTTTTACAGAACTACCTATTAAAAGAAAGAAATGCAAGATACAATCTATCAATTATAAAGCCTGTGCAAGGACTGAGTGATAACACAAAACATTAGAGCACCTGAAAAGTGCTAAAACAAAACAGTCCAACTTCAAGTATTTCTGTGGACAGACAAATTTTTAGTAGCCAATCATCACTGAAAAAAAACATATGGAGGACATTACAATATTATAGGTTTATTTTTTATTAATATGAAGGACTACAACATAAACAGTGCTGAGCTCTCAGGCAGGATAGAGGAAAGAGGGCAATATCTACACAATAAGAGATTATAGCTCACAAATTCTCATTCTTCGGTAATATACCTGTACGTTCAGGAAAAAAATTAAACCTCTCTATAACGTAAACTGCTAATGGGACATCACAACAGAAAAATAGATTTAAGAAAGTTAGTTCACAGTGCTACACCAATTTACTCCTGCTTAAACAATACTACTAGTTTTCATTTCATTTCACAACAGTTTCTTTCTCTCATGCCAGTAGTATGCCCTAACAGTAGTGAGAAAAAGTGAATGTATTTAAGTATATATGAAAATAATTAGTTAATAATTTACAGGTTTTGGTACAGGCATTCAACAAAAATAAGAGGGTACTTATCTGACACCTGCCTTTACATCATAAAGGTATAGGAGTGTACTGAATAACTGTGTATGTATGAAACATCCACCTCTACAGTACACTGCCTATTTAAAATGACAACTGCACTCATACTGCACTTTTTGTGTATTTAGGAGCTAGAACCCCCACCCCGTTATATATGCACTGGATGTACTCATTGAGCTGATGAGATCGGGAATACTCTGAAACCACTGTATTTCCCCTCTTATCATTTAGCACAAAGGTCTTGCAGCACTTTGACTTTTTACTAAGCTGAAGTATAGTACTAAGCTGCATTACTGAGATGACCGTAGATTCCCTTTTTTCCCCCCCAGTAAATCTATGCCTGACATTGAATCTAGCTAAACATTTATTTTGTTCGTATTTCAGTCAGAAAAGCTGTGTATGGCACTGAAGTGGCCACGTAAGAATGCAATAACACCTGTAATGGCAGTATCTTTAACATTAGAGACTGGGGGATTTTCTTACCTTAGCCACTTGAGTTACTGCATTAGCACCTATGGCAGCATTTGCAATATCTTCCAGTTTACTTCTCGAAATGGCAGAAATAAAGTTTAAATAATAAGATTCATAAAGCTGGTTTCGAAGATCCTAAAAGGAAGAAAAACCACAACCTTTTTCCTGAATAAGTGCTAATATATTTCTGACTAATTAAAAAACATTCTTAGTTTTACTATGAGACGTTCCAAATATCCACAGTCAAACTAAATTTTTGGAAGTGCTTAGCTGTCTGTTCATACAGCCCTGCACGCAGTGTTTTGACTACATAACTAGATATAACTAACCTAACACAGAACTGCAAAAACCAGGAAATGAAATTTAAGCTACCAGATAGCAACTACTACTCCACACCTTACTACTGACCAAAAGTACCCTTTGCTCTTCTTTATTCCTTTGTTGAAGATGTCAACCTTCCATCAATTCCTCCCAGAGAATGTGAAAAACTGAGGTTAGCCTAATTCAACCCCCCTGCTCAAAGCAGAGTCAAATACAGCAGGTGGTTCAGGATTGCGTCCAGCCGAGTTTTGAACATCTCCAAGGATAGAGACTCCACAAACTCTCCAGGCAATCTGTTCCAGCATTCAGCCACCCTCATTAAAATAGTTTTTTCTTATGTTTAAATGGAATTGCCTATATTTCGATTTCTGCCCACTGCCTCTTGTCTTTTCACTCCCAAAACTCTCTCTCCGAAACACAGGAGACATATTTACCCTTCCACTTTCTGGGAAATTGAAGTTTTGCATGTAAAAACTTGGGGCAATATTTTTATGACAAATATGTGCTAATACATAAAAAATGCAAGCAAAGGTGTTCAGACATGCACAAGAACTAGATATAGAACAGTCACACTCAGGTGAGTGCAGGATTACTTCACACACTCTACCTCTGTTGCGTTCACTCATTTGAAACATTAAGCATGCAAGTTACCTGGCACATTCTGTCAATATTTTCTTCTGTTGGCATTACAAAGTAAACAGCCGGAACATCTGGAATGGCATCACGATCTGAATGCAAAAGCCTGAAATGAAGAAAAAACACCTCTCTAATGTGTTCCTCCTCGGATTTGTGTAAAATTATAAAAGTTAAAGAAATTATTTATTTATACAGACACATTTAATTTCCTACAGTTTCTCCCTATATTTAGCTAGATTTTAGCAAGAACAAAACATGAAAAAATAGCAAAATCGTATTTGTATAATTTTTGGCTGAATATATTAATAGAGGTCTCCGAAGTTTATTCAAAGCTTGAGAAAAGGCTTCGCAAATCTTCAAAACTAGATTAATACGTTCAGAGGAAGGTAAAATACTGCATCCACAAAGTTCATATACCAATTATTAATTGTTGACATGATAACAAAAAAACTGCATATCTCAGACTATTAAATTTGCCTTTCCTGCTCATTAAAACAAAGACAGGCAAGGTACTTACACGTTTCTCTAACATTTCTGCTGATATGTCAACATGTTAACTGTGTTTCCATTTCTAGCCTTCACTTAGTAAAACTTTAAACTTTTGAAAAAAAAAGTATCTTCAAAGATCCTCCATGACTATTACCACAGCTAAGGAATGACAATGAACTAAATAAACGTAATCTGGAGAAAGAGAAATGGAAATCTCTTAAAATAATACTTAAAAGATTCCATATCTTTGACAAGAGACAATTAAAATCTATGTACAAAAAGACAAGCAGAAAATAGGCACAGTCCCATGAAACAGTTTGTGCCAAAACAATTTTAAGATATATGAATACAGAGGGAATTGTACAGACAGACTCCCCAAAACACCTATTGGATAATTCTTATTTTTGAGCAGGGGCCTCCTCTACCTAGTAAGAAATCCTACTGAATAGTGTTTGGAATGACCTTTCCACTCCCTAATTCTGAATAATACCACCTGATTTTAGAAACAAGTCAGGGTATAATCTTTATTTTAGTGGTTATTCATCAAATGATTTTCAATGTTTCATTTGTGATTTTGGGGGAATATTAAATAAAGGGTTTTTTAGAAAAAAAAAAAAATCCTGATTTTTTTACTTACAGATGCAAAGTGATCCCCATATCTCTCAGCTCTTTCACTGACAGCAAAGGTGAGATTATATCTTGGCCAAATCTGTCATAAATGAGAACCTGAAATAGATACACATCTTTTTACAAAGTGGTGTAAAAAGTGGATACAGTAGAATACAGAATACAGTGGATACAGGAATTCAGGTTTCAGGAACTACTGTCCCAGCCTGAAAAGTGCTAAACATTTACCAATTTATAATACATCATTAATTTGTCACGGGCTTCCATTTGTGCTTACTAATAAATTAAAAAAAAAAAAAAGAAAAGAAACTCAATGACAAAGGGAAATAAATTCATTATTTCCATCTCCTGAAAAGCATCAGTCAAACAGGAATCTGCTGTCAGAAATTTGTTATTGTAAGTGCAGAATTTCTCTGACTGCATTTGGGAGGAAACAAAAGGAGAAGCAGAGAGGGAAAAAAGGAACTAGCAAAAAAAAAAAAAGACAACAGGATGGATGAAGAGACAGTATATATGCTTTGCAGTAGCAAAAACTTCTCACAAATTAGTTACTTTTTAAAGCTAATAAAGGTAGCTTGAGCTCAGTTGTCCTAAATTTAAGGCTATCAATAGTTCTTCCCTTTCTATGGGCTTCTTTCTGACTCTGTGAGTCCACCTGTAAGGTATCATGTCAGTTTCTGCCAACAGTTATCAATGAGACCTAAGTATATTTCAAAAACGTCCTCCTCAGTTGCTCATTAAAATATTGCCTAAAGAATCAGTCATTGGGTCTTCAAGCAGCCAATATCTCAAATATGTATTTTGCTCAGGAATTCTGATATTCAGTTCTGTATATTCATAACACACAGGAAAAACCATTTTGTACAAGTTAAGAACATAGAAAAGATACTGGAGTCAGTTAAAATTTGAAAATCTGAACTTTTTTGAACACTATAAAATTCTTCTATTCCTGTTCAAATAGTTCTTACCTTCCATACTGGTTCTCCTGTGCTGTTTTTAACAGGAGGAACATTGAAGTTCAGCATACGTTTCAAAGCCACTGGAAAACAAAGCAGAATAATGCTTTACTCTCTTTACACTTCAACAATAGAGACTAAATACATTACCAGGATTTTATTATACGTTTCATTTGAGAAGAAAACCATCATAAAATATAAATGCAACAAGTCACATTTTCATTATTTTTATGCAGCTTTCACCAACAAGTGGCACACATCAGCTAGAACTTATGGGCTCTGGAAGACACTGCAAAAGGAAACGAAGCAAGTCCCAAAACATGAAGAAAGAATCTCTCTCCTTAGTTATACGGGCTATATTCTGTCACAGTTTGCCTTAAAAATAATTCCAGTATCTTCCTGAAGGTGCATTCTGTACAGTAGGAACTAGTTTGCTTTATTCCCCTGATCTGCTTTTCCTACCCCACAGGAACAACAGTATACACACAAGCAAAAAATACCTTTTCACCTGACTCAAACTGATACACATTTTGAAACATTCTGAGAACTCACAGGAAGAAATTGCTGCTTTAAGGGGTACAAAAATACCCCTAATTTGCAGCAGGAAAACTCTTTGAAACAGGAATGAGCTTTCATTTAACTTTACATTCAACACAGAAACCAAAGCAGATTCCTTCACCTACCTCTAACTTACAAATCTATTAAGCGAGGAGTCCTTCCTCATTTATCTGATTAAACAATACACTAAGTGCTGTTCTCCCATCTTTGACTAGAAGCAAAAGACTATTTGCATCAATGTAAGTTAGTGGCTATTCTCTTCAAACTCATGAACAAAATAATCACAAAGCTCTGCAAAGAGGAAAAATCAGGGCAATGTACACCAATTTGCTCATAAATGGAGAGCAGTAGAAATGGTTAACTCCTAACTCTTTGGCTGAATGAGGCTTGTGAGCATACTCAGTGCAGTTCCCCTGGGGTTTACAGTATCACAGGACAGCTCAGGCTGGAAAGGACCTCACGAGATCTCCAGTCCAACCTCCTGCTCAAGCAGGGTCAGCTGTGAGGCCAGGCCAGGCTGGTTTTATCCAGTCAAGTCTCGAAACCCTCCAGCGATGGAGATGCCACAACCTGTAGCAACCTGTAGCACTGACTGTCCTTGTGGTGAAAAAGTTTTTCCTTATATCCAGTTTGAATATTTCAATTTATGCCTGCTGTTCCTCACCCTCCTGTCACACATGACCCCAAGGAGCCTGTCTCCATCTTCTGGAGTACTGGAGAGCTGCTGTTAGGTCCTCCCACGAAGCTGCCTTTTCTCCAGGCTGAACAAGCAAGCCCCAGTCCTGCAGCCTCACCTTACAGGGCAAGTGCTCCCAGCCCGACCTTCTCGGTAGTCCTTTCATAGAATCATAGAATCATTAAGGTTGGAAGAGACCTCCAAGATCATCAAGTCCAACCATCAACCCAACACCACCATGCCCACTAAACCATGTCCCTAAGCGCCGCATCTACACGTCTTTTAAATACTTCCAGGGATGGGGACTCAACCACTTCCCTGGGCAGCCTGTTCCAAGGTTTAACCACTCTTTCAGTAAAGA